CCAACCCTTCACCACCAAGAGGCCAGGCCCTGCCCCTGACTGGTCCGACCCTGCCACAGGTCCTGCAGGCCATAACCAACAACTCAGGCACTTTGGACAAGTACCCAACGTGGCAGCGGACCTTGCTGCGCCGTGCTAAGGAGGAGCAGATGAAGAGATTCTGCAAGGCCCAGGTGAGATCCGGGGTTGCCAGAAGTTCTGATGGAGTCAGAATGGTGAGACTGGGGATCAGAGCTCCTCCAGTGCTCCATTCTTGAACAATCCAAAGACTCCTGGGCCTCTTGTCTTGCCTCAGGCCGTCCAGCTGCGACTCAATGAGATTGAGGCTTCTCTGAGGGAGCTGGAGGCCGAGGGAAAGAAGCTGGAGCTGGCCCTGAGGAACCAGAGCAGTGAGTGAAGACGGGGGAAGGGAAGTTTGGATGCCCCTTTGCCTCCTAGCACTGTATTCAGCCCCCAGCGACCCCTCAAACTGCAAGGCTCTGGCCCACAGCAGGCCCCATTCCTCAGGCTCAGGGCTCCTACGACCCTGGCTGGTGGCCTCCCGACCATGCAACCCCGCTTCGTCCTTATCAGGTTCTCTGGAACAGCAAAAGGCACTATGGCTGGAACAGCTGCTTCACCTTGTTCAGAAGAAAAACAGCTTAGTGGCTGAGGAGGCTGAGCTCATGATCACGTAAGGGACAGAGGGAGGTGACAATGGCTTGTGAGCTAGGCCCCAGCCGGGTCCTTGGGCGTCATGGACAGCCCTTTCCATCCCTGCCCGCTACAGGGTACAGGAACTGAGCCTGGAAGAGAAACAGTTGCAGCTGGACCAGGAGCTACGTAGCTACATGAACCGAAATGGTACGCAGGACTGGGGGAGAGGCAGACATCAGGGGGCTGGGGTTTGTAGTAGCCTCGTGATCTCGGGTACTGACCAAGAAACACAGTCCTCTAGTCAGAGTGCCTCTGAGGCAGTTCAGGAGGAAAGGAGGAAACCAGATGGAGGGGCTCCAAGCCCCTATTCCGCCTTCAGTGCAGTCAGGACTGTACGTACAGGCTTTCATGCAAGATTTCCTTTTCAAATGGTGCTGCTGTGAAACAATGCTAGAAAACCACTGGTGTTGACCACCCTAATTTTACAGATTAGGAAACAAAATTCAGGTAATAGAAGTCATGTAGGCCAGGATTAAGGTATGCCTCTCTTGCCTCTCTGCCCAGTTCTCTAAGCTTCATCTTCTCCCTTCAGAAACCCCAAAGACAGCTGCTGATCAGCAGGCTGAGAACCGGATCCTGAAGGAGCTAGTGAATGTGGTGAACCAGCGAGATGCCCTCATCCGCTTCCAGGAGGAACGCAGGCTCAGCGAGCTGGCATCAGGGCCGGGAGCCTAGGGCTCGAAGAGGGCGGGCTGTGTGCCTTCTTCCCTACAAGACCACCTCACCCCAGGACAGTGCCACCTACTCATCTGAGCTGCCTGGGAGAGGACCTCAGTGTTTATAATAAAAATGTTTTTGCCACGCACAAGGCTTAGGCTGCCCGCAGATGGAAGGTGGGGAGTATGTAGAGAAAGCAGGAGATGTGTAGGAACCTGAAGATGCACAGTGTGACAGTAGTTGTGATCAATGGCCCTCTACAAGGAAAAGGCAGAGCCACCGAAGTGTCAAGCTTTATTGGTCCTCAGCCCTGTCCCCCTCCTGATGCCCCAGGAACAAGGCTGGCCGAGACTCTGGGCCCAAGTCCTGGGCTTCCTTTGCCCTTCCCAACACATGCTGGAGCTCAGCCCGGGACCTACATAAGCCCTTGACCTCCTGCATGTGGAATAGGTAGACTGCACCCGCCCCTAGCACCAATCCTACACTGGGGGTCCAGAGCAGGATGGCAATTTCCCTGACCCCTCCTCCAGCCACCAGGGCACAGAGCAATGCCAAGAGAAGCAGCCCTAGACCAGTCATGTAGCCAGCGAAGGTGGTCCACCAACGAGCTTGAGCCACAGCCAGATCCAGCTCTGTCCAGGCCTCCCTTAGCACACTGATCAATGGTGACCTCTCTGCTGATCCTAGAACAAGGCAAGGCAGTGGGGCAGGAGAGAGGGTCAGAGTGGAAGAGCTGCCTTGTGGTGGGGAAGAACCAAGGGAAAGGGTGTGGGTGACTCACTGTTGGTAGAGCTGGGGTTTTGCTGGGGTGGGCTGTGTCTCACACACAGAGTAGCCATCAGGGCCTCATGATCAGAGAGCGGGGAGCCACTGTGAGGGTCATGGCCAGTAGTAGTTTTGAGAGTCGTGCAGGAGATGTAGAACCCAGAAACAGCCTGGGGAAAAAAAAGGGCCAGAGGGAAACTTTTATCGTCCCAGAGAACCAGCTCTTAGCTATCCCATTCCCCAGTCATCGGTGAACTAAGATAAGAATAGCTGCACAAAGGATCAGCACAGGATGGTGAGGGATGAAGAGACACAGTGGGTGAAGGCACATTGTGAGGAGAGGCCTGACCTTATAAAGTACATAGTCGATGCGGATGCCACAGGGGAATGGCTTCAGCTCTTGCTGGTTGACGTAGCAGTTCTGCGGTACCATGGTACAGCCTTCTTCAGAGCCCTAGGTGAATAGTTGCCTTGTGCTAGGATGTGGGGGAAGAAGGGAAAGACACTGGGCATCCAGTTGGGAAAATATTCAAGCAGGTCCTCACCTTGAAGTCCTGGGTCTCAAGGTAGGCATCATGCAGCCCTGTCCACTCCTTCAGCAGGCGGTAGCCCAGATCTTTTGGATGCAAGTTGAGGTCCCCACACAATAGAATGATGTCAGCCTTCTTGGATGTATGGCTGGGGGAACCAGGTGAGTGAGGCAAGAATTCTTCCGTAACCAGCTCTGCCCTATTAAGTGGGGCCTTGGCCACCACTCAGCCCCTGGACCCCATCCCACATCCCTTGTCCCCATCCCACATCCCTTGTCAAGCCCAGGCTCACACACTGGATGAAATGGGCCAGTTCCCAAGCTTGGGCCACACGATGTGCTAGGTAGATGTCCTTCTGTCGATTGTACTCTGCATGGAGCTGAGCAAGATAAATGAGATTACAGCAGGTGAGACTGAGGGTCTCAAGGGCAGGTGTAAATTAAGCTTGTGTCTATCACTTGGCATGATGCTTGGTAAAAAATGGGTGGACCTTGCCTACCGACTTGAGGAGATGCTGCCCCCACACCGCACCCCCAGGCAGCCCATCTAGTCGACTCCCATCTCTCCCTCCCAGTAGGAGGTTGCTTGTCCCAGCCCTCAGTACTTCCAGCTTCACTCACATGCGTCACGTAGACATTGAGCACCAGTCCACTTAGATAGAGTACCAGCAGCCCCACAGCCTTCCCACTGAACCAGTCACCATGATGGATCTGCAGGCAGGAGGGGGCAGGAACTCAGGGCACTGCTACCCTCTCTCTGCCCATCCCCTGCAACCGTGAGAAGTCTGCCTCCTTTACCCAGTTAGTGGGGGGCGGGTAAGAGAGGCGGATGAGGTCAGGCATACCATGTAAGGGTAGCCATTGAGAGTGTAGACATGCTGGGTGAATTCCTGGATTGGGTGTTTGGAGAAGACACAGAGGCCACTGCCAATGATGCCGCTGAAAGACAAGTCCTGATTAATGGCCAGAAAAGCAGGAAGAGAAAGACCTAGTCCTGTTCCCTTCCCTTGTCTCCCAGCACTATTGGCTACTTTTTCTCTCTTTCTGCTGCTGAGACCAGGTCCAGGACACAGGTCAAAGCAACAGCCTTTGTGGGATGACAGGGAGACCTCACAACAAGGCTGAGAGGAGCTGAAGAGCTAGGATCTTCCTGGTTCCACCCTTTCTTGCTTCCACACCCAGAAAAGAGGATGCTGGGGGAGAGGAAGAAGGGTGCAGCCGGTATCGGGTAGGGCTGGCGGGCCAAGAGCTTCCAGGCTTCCCGGGCAGAAGGGTTCTCACCTCCTGAAGTAGTGTGCGGCTGGGTAGGTGGGCAACAGCTTCTGTCGCAGGTGCTGGAAGTCCTGCTCACTCCATACCTGGGGGAAGGGATAAAGATGTCTGCCTGGCTCGTCTCCTCCTGCTACCCTCTACCCCCAGCCGGGGTTCCACAGCAGTTCCACACAGCCCACCTCCTCCAGTAGAGCTAGGTCGAAGCTCTCCATCTTCAGAAAGTCTCCCAGGCGCTTCATGCGGTCTGCTCGGTGCTTGCTCAGGTAGGGAATGCCCCTAAGGACAGAAGGGCCAGGGGAGGTGACTACTGGGCGTGCTCAGCTCTCCGGACACCGCGGGAGCTGGGAGCCAGGTGAGGGTTTTGGAGGTGCAGGTTCTCGCAACACCCCGAGATTACGAGACAGAGTAGAGCCTTGGCCCGGATGTGAGGGTGGCCTCTTTCCTCTGGCTGTGCGGGTGCGACTGGGGCTGTGGCCTCCGACCTCACTCCGCAGGAGCACTCACCAGCAGTTGAGGTTAAAGACCTTCAGTCGCAGGGAGAAGTTGGGCTTCATGGCGCCGACGCTCCGGGGTCGCGGGACAGCTCGACTTCCTCAGCGACCGCCCGGCCCAGACGGGTGAGGGCGGGCCGCACCTCCTCCCAGGAAGGTGCGCACAGGTGGTCGGCCCCGCCCCCACGCTCCCCACGCGGGCCGAGGCTCCTAAGTCCCCGATGCTCAGGCCCGCGACCCGGGCCAGCGACCCGAGACAGACTCCCGCGTTACTCCGGCAACCAGCAGGCTGGCCCAAACTGGCTGCCCACCAAGCCGGAAAGGCGATCTGTGGCGAAACCGGGGAGCTGACCGAAGCCGCGGGCCGTGCACGGGGGAGCCTGGATAGAGGCGAGCCGGGCGAAGGCACAGGAGACGCGGGGCTCCCCGGCCGCGGCGGCCCGCGCACCCTCCCGCGCTGCTTTTTCCGGCGCACCAGCAACAGGCAAACAAACCCGGCCACCTCCTCTGGCCCCGCCCCTCGCCCCGCCCCGCCCCGCCCCGCCCCTCTCCTGCCTCCTCCCTGCGAGCGTCGGGGGCGGGGCCGTGCGGTTGTCTTAGTGATACGCAACGTTTGTGCTCCGAGGGGTCCCGAGAGCGGTCATGGCGAGACCGCAGCCTTGCGGGCCGAGGTCGGTCCCGTTCTGCTCGCAGTCGCCGCCGGAGCAGCTGCTACAAGTGAAGGTGGTGGGGCTCTTCAAAACCTCTAGCTTTCAGATTGCGAAGAGCACAGCTGAGGTAACGGCGAAGAAACCACAAGTGGTGGAGGCCCTTTCCGCTTCCCAGGCTCGCGCCTCCTGGTGGCGGGTGCCGACGTTCCGGGAGGGATTTGTCCGGGCTGCCCCTGACCGGTCGGCTTGCGTAAAACCGTGAAGGGGGAAGGTGCGGGTACGGAGGGCTGGCATTCCACTTCGAGAAGTGGTGCCCTTGAAGGGCCTTCCGAGTGAAGGAAGCGTTCAGAGCCTTGCTGGGAATAAAGGTAATCCCTACGCTCTGCATAGCCACACTTTTTATTCCACATTCATTTTTAAATTATAGATTTTTAAAGTTCATGAACAAATGTTCAGGAAAAATTGTTACCATATAATTAGCTGATTCTTTACGAACTCCCACTCCGAGTGATTTTTGAAAACTATTCATTCGGGAAGGTTTGTTTTTATTTTATTTTTTTAATTTAAAAATTTTCTATGGCAGTCACTTCATTACAAATTAGGTGCTTAAGGGATTTCTCTCTCTTTTTTTATGATTTATTTTTAGAGAGGGGGGAAAAGAGGGAGAAAGAAGGGGAGAAACATGGATGTGTGAGAGAAACATAGATGAGTTGCTTCTCCCACGCCCCATGTGCGCAACTCAGCGTCTGTGCTCTGACAGGGAATCCAATCCAACCAGCGACCAAAGGTCCCCAGGCCGGCGCTCAATCAGGCACCAACCAGCGCAGATTTCTTAATAGATGCCTGACCTTGAGGTGCGTGTTTCATTGTAAACACAGAGGGATACAGAAGGAAAAATACTTCCATTGAAAGAATGTGGCCAGGTCAGTAATGTTGCAGCACACCTATAACCGCAGTGCAGGGGAAATGTAGAAATCTGGGAAATGTAGAAATGTAGAATTCAGCCCATGGCTCCGGAGATGCTGCTCTAAGATTATGCCAAGCTTCTCCCCTTCAAAACCCCACTAGACTCTAGGACAATACCTTATGTGTGTATCTTGCAAAGTACGCAGCTGGATACTGGACACAAAACGTTCCCAAACAGAAGAAATCTTAAATTCCTACCTCACCTACTCCAAGTCCACAGTGTTAAAGAAAAGTTTATAATTATGTCAAATCAGGAAATAGTAACTAATTTGTGAAATAGGTAAAATTTACATCAAAATGAAGACCGATCAGAAGTGTGTGGAAACGATATATAGATCATCTGAAGAAGTAGAAACTGAGGGTTGTGTTAGCTGGGCTGATGGGATCAGCAGTTTTGTGGCCTATGTTGTATTCCATGTGTGTGAGGGATTTTTTTTTCCCTTTGTTTTTCTTAGCTCCTTTTCTGAAGGCACATGTTTTCTGTGCCTGCTCCACACTGTAGATAAGGTATTCGTAATGTTTTTCGGTAAAGTCCAGATATTACATTGTTAGGCCTAGGGGGCCATTGGTTCTCTACGGCCACTACTCAGTTCTATCCTTGTGTGAACGTAGCCACACAGTATGTAAATGAATAGCGGGCTTCCAATAAAACTGGATTATGCACGCAGAAACTTGACTTGCCTGTAATTTCACATGACATGAAATATGATTTTTTTCAACTGCTTAAAACTCTAAAAATTTTTCTTAACTTTAGAGTCAAAAAACAGGCTCTGGACCAGATTTGTCCCAGTGGCCAGTTTGCCAATCTCTGTTGTAGAGCACACTAAGTCAATGTCTTTGTTATATTAGTAATGATAATTTTCCCTCTCATAAGCTTTTGCCTACTGTAGCTGTATTTGAATATGAAAACATCAATGTGAATTCAGTTAGTTCTGTCTTAATAAAGGATCCTTGAAAATATACCCAACACGTTCTTTTGTGAGCAATCCCAGATGCCTAATTAACTGACAAAGATTCAAACCTGTAAAGAGTAAGTATTATATATATTCTAATTTGGATGTCGTCCATTCTAGAACAAAGACTACATTATGAAGAAAGTATGATTACATATTAATTTGAAAACTGTTGGGTTTATTAGTTATTCCAGGTAGCCCCTCAGTTCGAAACAGTTGTCCTGCACAATTGCCTCAGACAGAGCACAGACACTGGAATTGAGAGAAAAGGACCCCTCATCTGTTGATTGGGGACGGTAGTCTAAGAAGGAAATGGCCAGGTTGCTGTTGCCCTCTTCTGCTATCCCTGGTTCCAAGGCAAGGTGCACTCACGTCCCGGCTTTCTCCCCCTTGCAGTATCTACCCTTGATGGAGCGTGCCAGTCAGTGTCCCCTTAGACCACGGCAGAAGGGGCCAGCTGTCACTTTCCCTGTTGGTCTATCGACTCCTCAGACGCACTCAGGAAAGTGAGGCCCAATTGTTATTGCCTCAACTACCTTCTCTTGCTTTAGAAGGAGGAAAAGTATAACGTATTAGCAACAAAAATATTTTATTTTTGACAGGGATTATTAACCAGTGAGAATTCTCTCTGTTTCATATAGACAATATACGTTAAACCAAAATATGTGCACTATCTAAAACATATTATTATCTTTTTCCCAAGAGGTATAACCACAATCTCCTTTTGGTCATTCTCCATATATCAGTGAATTAAAGTAATAACATTTATTTCTTTTAGTCAAAGTATCCATAGATCTATTGAGGTTTAATAGGCGTTGAATTTAGGGAAAAACTGGTCCTAAAAGAACGTGATAGATCACGGAACTGTTGGCACAAACTCATTTATTTGTTCATTTGTTTATTCAGTTGCTTTGTGTGAGTGATCCAGATGTTGAGGCCAGTGGAAATGTAGGAAAACTAAGACACTCTTTTCCCTCAGGGGGCTTATTCTCTACAGGTAAGAGACAAATAAGGCAGAGCCCCAGCCTGGGCTGGGGAGTGACTCAATGGAAGTGAACAGTGGGGCCTCAGAGAGGCTGGCAAGGGGCATCTAAGCCAGACTGTGTAGGCTGGGTATGCTGGGTTGTATAAAATTTCTTGGAGACCCCATGAAAATTAGGGCAAATGATTACTACTTTAAAAAGGATCTTACTCTAAAATAATCATTCTGTTTTGAAACCTAGAGCCTGAAGAGTAATTTTCCATCCAAATTTGAAGATCCTGTAATAGTTCCTCTTCAAGAATTTGCATGGGATCAATATCTACAGGAGAAAAAAAGGGTAAAGGATATTTGGGGTGGCGGAAATGAGTGAAGTTTTGCCTGAACTATTTATGCATTGTTTTGGAAAAACAAGTAGTAATTTTAGTGCAACTAAACTTTATTTCTTTAAATTGTGCACTTTTCCTAAATTATTTCAAGCATTTTACAAGGCTGATTTTAAGAAGAAGTAAAATATTTACAGGATTTTTCTCTTGGAAGGCTTGTGATAAAGATGTTCTAAACTCTGGATGCTGCTGTTTACCCTGCTGATAGTTGCCCCTCTTTCCCTGCACATCACTTATGCTGCCGGGGACACCCTGGTGCTCAGGTTACTATGGCTTGGCACTCTATCTCTGGAAGGTTTTGGGTTTGGGGCGCAGATATAGTGAGGGGCTTGTGTTGGCTGTTGCCTAGGGGAGCTCTGATGACCGGCACCAAGTCTCCACAGGGTAGCGTTGCTCTAATTGAAGCTTTCTTCTCTGCGTCTCCCCCCTCACAGTTCCCTGGGAGAATCCAAGACCCTGGGGCCAGCAGAGCTTGTCCAGGGAGGGCAGATCGGTTTTCTCTTTGGTGCCAACTCTAACAAGTTGGTAGTGCTGCCTGGAGCATGTGATATGAAGGATTCTGAGATGGAGTCCTGGCTCAGCAATGTCTCGTGTTGAGGCGGGGAGGCTGGAACGGTGTACACCTCTTGCTCGACACCCCTGGCCCAGTCTTGTGGAGACCCCAGTCCTGGTTTCCCTGCCCCCCACATCTCACTGGTGGCTGATGAAATCCCGTTTCCCCTGACCAGAGCAGTTTCAATTGTTTTGTGCTTGGTTACACAAGGAGGTCTTGTGATCCTGTGATTATCATATAGATAGTGTCATTTTAACCAAGATCACTTCACTCTTCAGTCACATAAATGGTGCAAGACAGAGTCAAGAATACCACTTCTTGACTCTGTCTTGGAAAATGGTAAGTCTCATACCATTTTCATAGCCATAACACATTTTCATTGGCATTGAAATAGAACCATAGCAAACACATGATGCTTATAATATATGCCAGACACTGTTCTAATAGCTTCTAACATATATCAACTCTAATCCTTACAACTAGGGTGATCAATCATCCTGATTTACCTGGGACTGAGGAGTTTCCTGGTATACAGAAATCTTAACACTAAAACTGCGTCAGTCCTGGGCAAACCATGACAGTTGGTCACCCTAACATAAAACAATGTTTTTCTTCATTTTTATCATCAGACTTAGTATACTGTGTGCCAGCATCATGCTCTCCAATTCCAAGAGAGCCATGATCTTATGCTTTGGCTTGCACCAGCTCCTCTTACATATTCCCACTGCACTCTTAAAGAGTAATTTCCCACCCTTTTCAGCCTAGCTTACTGACCTTGGCATGTTTTGTGTTCCTTTCCTCTTGCTTCTCTCACAGGGCTTGAATGAGGCTTTCTAGATAATCATTGCTGCTTCTTTCCACCTATTCTGTATTCCTTATCCTTCCCTTCTTCCCACTTTCATCGTCATCTCCTGGATACTTGTCACTTTAACCTCCTCTTCCCTTTCAGGCCAGTGTCTTGTCCTTCAGTGTAAGTGTGTCGTGTTAGCCGTAGTGCTGCTTAGCACACTTGAGGTAAGGTCCAGGCTGGCCTAATGTTTCAACAGAATTTTGCACACTTGAGGGATGGCTTCAGGGCTTTTGAAATGCCTTTCTCTCCTTTCCAAAAAAAGTTGCATCACTCATCATAGTGTTGGAAAGCCTCAGAAACCAGCAGGTCCAGCCCACTATCTTGAGGCAGGGGAGGAGTTCTCATGGATAGAAGACACACAGAGCCAAAGCAACCTCTGAATAAAGTGTACCTTCTACTGCATTTCTTCCACCAAGGGAACTAAAATATCCACAATTAAACTTTCTCTGCCCTTTTCAAAGTTTTGTGTCCTGTGAAATGTGATAACACCGATAAATTTGAACAGTTCGGGGGGTATTGACTCATAGGCTCTCTCAGTGATTTGCAGTTCAGCATGAACAAGTGAATTCTCTTCCTTGAAGCAGGTAGCAGCTGAATATGAAATCTCCTGAGAGGAGCTGAAAATGGAGCAAGCTGGCAAACTGAAGGCAGGCATTCCCCCAACCAGCATTTCTCTAAGTGCGGTCTCAGACCAGCAGCGTTTGCATCTCCTGGGATGTTGTTAGAAATGTAAATTCTCAGGCCCCACCCCCAAACCAGAAATTCAGGTGGGGCTCACGAATCTAATTCTGACTGCCCACTAAAATTAGAGAACAGCTCTCCCAAATTGGCCATGGTTTTGCCAGGACTGGCACTGGGTAATAATAAACCAGATCTCTTTGAAGGGGACATCACTCAGTGGCCACACACTGGGATTTAGGAGGTTGGTTGCCAGTGTTATGCGGATGAAAACACAAACACACTTCATTTTGAAGGGTTTAGTACTTGAAAGTGTTGATGCAGGTGAGTGCTCTTCCTCATTGCCCGGAGGTGCCCAGAAATTCCTGTCGGCTGTCGCAGGAGGCATTCCTTCACCCTGACCCTCCTCGGTCAACAAACTATGCTTTCCATCCCTTACACTGAAAACCGTGTCTTGCACAGAACCCCTGACCTTCCCACGTATGCACACAGTAAAAGGTGCATCAAATATACCGCCAGAGATTGCCTTTTGTTTTCAAGTTACTATACCATGCTTGCTACACCCACAGATTTTTACTACCAGATTACCATCTATTTTCTATGGTCTTACCATTTTTAAGATTACTTTTAGATCATTCTTTTTTTTTGGTGATGTCAGAGTCTTGAAAAATGTTTTTACATTCTTTTTTCTCTCAAAAGTAATAAGAAACATATATTTTTAAAGAGTCAGTTCTCAGGTTGAACCCAAGCTCTGGCTTGTGGGGTTAGAAAGTTTTTTTCATTTTTCTTTCTTTGTTACTTTTTTTTTTCTCCTTTCCTTTATAGGAACTTAAGAATGAAGTCTGGGAATATTCTGCCTATGTCATGTGTTTTATTAATGATCAGCTCCTGGGTGATGCACTTGATCTTCAGAAATGGGCCCACAAGGTGTGGGATATAGTTGATTTTAAGCCCCTTGCACTTTATGAGGCACTTACTGTGGATTATTCTGCTAAATTATCAAGAGACACCAAGGCAAGTTATACTAACGTTTAAAGAAAAACACTGGCATCTTTGATGATTTATGTTGATTCAGCATTATTTACTGATAGCCTAATGAAGGAAATATAAAAGAGTAAGAGACCAGGTTTGCAAAGGATTGTATAATATGGCAGAGCTTGGCTTGGTAGTGCGTTAAACAAGCATATCTCTCAGCAGGCAGGAGCATCCCTGTTCTAACATTTCCACGCCCCTGCAGGGGTGTCCAACCCATAGCCTGCAGGCCCCATGTGGCCCAAGGTGACTATGAATGCGGCACAACACAAAATTGTAAATTTCCTTTAAAACATTATGAGATTTTGTGTGTGTGTGTGATTATGTGTTACAATGTATTTAATTTGTGGCCCAAGACAACTCTTCTTCTTCCATTGTGGCCCAGAGAGGCCAAAAGGCTGGACACCCCTATAGGGTTTATATGCATTATTATTCATTTCAAAATATAAAGACTCCACCTTAGGGAAGGTCAAGTCTGTCACTCATTCACTTTTAGTGAATATTTTTTAAAAGATTTTATTTATTTATTTCTTAGAGATAGGGAAAGGGAGGGAGAAAGAGAGGAAGAGAAACATCAATGTGTGAGAGATACATCTTTTTGGTTGTCTTCTTGCACAATCCCAACTGGGGAACCTGGCCTGCAACCCAGGCATGTGCCCTGACTGGGATTGAACCTGTAACCTTTTGGTTCACAGGTCAGAGCTCAATCCACTGAGCCACTCAGCCAGGGCTAGTGAGTATTTTAATTAATACTTCTAACACCTAAGTGAAAGCTACTGCACTAAGGGAATGGAAAGTTTGAGAAGAAAGGTGACATTTTAAAGCATGACATAGTTCGTGAGAGCAAGAGTAGGCAAACTATGGTATTGGGGTTTCCAGTGGCAGAAGACAGTCATGATGTCTGAGGTCCAAAGAGCAAGAGACACGTCAGAGTGGGATGGCAATAGAGATAAAAGCACTTTGTAATTTTGCTCAGCCATTTTGTAGCAACAGCTACCATGTACTGAAAATCACTTCTTGCTCATGGTGACCTGGGCCCATAGAAAAACACAGTGTCTTTCTGAGCCATGCAAAGGCAAAGACCAGTAACTTACAACACTGTTTAACCACTGTCTTTAAAGGAATCTGAAACAGTAGGTGCCCATTTAACTTTTGACTGAATAAACAATACACTTGGAAAATGCCAGAAACTCTGAGGTGTGAGGAGGAATATAATGTTCCTAGTAGTTAATTCCCAGAGGGACAGAAGCCTAGAAGTACATGGTGTCCTCTGAAAATAACTGGGAAAAGCAAGGAGACCAGAATTAGTGGGGAAACAAGGCTGGGGAAATGAGGGTGTCAGTCATACTAAGCTACTCAGATTGATTTAAGGAAAAAAGGTATGTATGGAAATGATATTGGTAACCTCACAATTGACAGGTAAGCTGGAGAGCCTGCTTGGGAAAGCAGGTAGAAACCAAGGAAGGCCTGGCAACAGGAAAAGATGGGCAGAGCCATGCCCCGGGAATGGGCAGCCATGAGTGCCCCCTGGCCTGGGTTTGAATTGCCATCTGCACTAAGAATAACTGCTCAGCTGGCCTTGTGTCTTTGTAGCTCTCTGGAGAGCCAAGGACCAGGCAGGAGCGCCTAACTAGTGGAGCCCAGGTCATGTCCCAGCACCCTGGCTCTCACAGGAAGGGGAGAGGGAGAACCTGGCCCCGTTAGGTTCTGCGGAGGGTGGTGGGGCCTTGTGGGGGAATTCCCCAAATGGGATACGTGTTCAGCTGTTAACTAGGAAGAAAACCCAAACGTGTGTTAAAGAAAGTTTGAACTTACCATCCATTCTCAATTAAGAAGTTAGATTTTATCTAGAAGGAAGCCAAGCCAACAGAACTTTCATAAAGAATATGACATAATCTCTTTGCTTTTTTGGAAAAACTTTTATGGGTATGCAGAAACAGCCATTTGGAAAGCGGCCATATGGGCTAGAGATAATGACAGCTTGAATTAATTAGCGGCAGGAAAGAGAAGGGATCTAGATTCTGGAGAAAATCCTTAGTTTTGTGTGTCCCCTCTCCTTCCCATGCTAATGGTAAATTTTTCTTGCTGAGTAAAACCGAGTCAGGGACTTGTTTACTTCTGGGTTGGATTGAAATATGCTACATAATTATGTTTGTGTGTTTAGTTGCTAGGTGACATTATCTTGTGCTGCATTTATTTGCTCTTTTCATTAGAATTTTCAAAATTATCTACTCTTGACAACCCTGTAAAGATAAGATATTGTTGCACAAGGAATCATGATTCTTCAGTAGATCCTCTTTTTCCTCCTAAGCCTGGAAAGTTTACAACATTATGCCTTTTATTCTTAAGTTATAATCTTTTATAATTAAGAAATTGTAGTGTAGAAGCTGAGAGGCACAAATTGATTATAATTAGTATGGATATCAAAATGCACAATATTATTTCAGTCTTTAAAAAGAAAAGGTTAGAGTGACATAAATTAACAATAAGGATACATTTAAATGTGATTTAATTTATGTTTCCTAGATTCTTAAGGAATAGGACAGGGCAAATTAATGTCCCCTGTTAAATCAGGTGGCATTTTTATGTATGTAAGATTTGAAATGTATTCTGTTAGATGTGCTCTGCTCCCTAAGTGAATGCTACTGTGATAGAAACGAGTGCTTTCCTTTTGGATGCCTTTTTGTAGGGCTAGACAGGATCTTACAAGTGTTAGTCATCTGTACCAGAAAGGATGTCAATTGAAAACAAGAGCGGGGGACCCTCTGAGAACATGAGGACATGATTGCACGCACCAAAAGCACAGCTTCTCTCTTCCCAGCCCCTGGAATCACACCTGCCATGGATTTAGTGGCCTTATTTTCCCAATAGAAAGACTGGCCTGGTTCTGGTTAGCTAATCTGAGCTGTCTCCGAAAATCCAGAACACACGGTAACCAAATCCATGGTGCTCTCATTGGCTCTTTTCCCAAAATTAATCAGGGAAGAAAAGAATTCCCAGTCTCCTTCTTTTCCCAAAGGGACTGCCTGATGTTCCTTTCCACACCTAGTTTGCGATGGAGTGGATATCTAGGCCATGTGTTCTCAGGCTTGGTGACAGGTTAATGTTACTCAAAGCTTTGCTGCTGAAGGGTTTTAAAAAGCATGTTATTTCAGTTGTAAAGCCTTGATATAAAAAATGAAACAAAATTCTTTAAGTTATTCTTTTAGCTGTTACATTCTCCAGTGTTAATGCTGTTGACATCTTACCAATAAAAACATGATTGTCTTATTTTTGGTCATTTCTAAAATTTTCTTCCAAGACATTGACCTGCATTATCTTTTTCTCCTTAATTTTAATAGCATGATTTTGTGTTCTTGGATGTTTCTATTGATTTTTATCCAATTGGAAGATTGGTTTTTGAGGTAAGAGTGTTTGTTGTTGTTATTGTTGTTACATTAGTAAGTTGGGGGGAGTGGGAATCTGTAACTGTCAAAATGTAAAATATTTAACCTTTAAAACCTTTAATCTTTTTTTTTAGCTGTACAGTGATGCATGTCCCAAAACATGTAAAAATTTTCAGGTCTTATGCACAGGAAAAGCAGGGTTTTCTCAAAGTGGCATCAAGCTACATTATGCAGGTTCAATTTTTCATCGAATAGTACAGAATGGTTGGATACAAGGAGGAGGTGAGTTTAAAATATTAAATACAACCCAACTGCAACATCAAATCAGAATGTCCAAAATTTTATCTCCCTTTGTGAAATATACTATATTTTGCCATGTGTAATGCGTACTTTTTTCCCCCAGATTTTTGAGGGGCAAATAAGGATGCACATTATACATGAGTAGTAACATTTCTGTATGTATATAAATATTTTTCATTCTTTTTTTATGCTTACGCACTAAAAGTATAACTCTAGAAAGCAATAACGATATTCTTATGCAAAATAATACCCTGGAATATGATAATTGGTTTTGTTTTTAAATATAAATAAATAAATAATTGAATTAAAAAATTAAAATGAAAGTTTTTTTTCCTGAAAGTTTGGGCCAAAAATGTGGGTGTACATTATACACAGCAAAATATGGTATATAGGATTAGATATATTTAATATTAGGCGTTCTATAGATTTAAAGGATATTTCATATGACCAAATAATGAGTTAAGATATTCATACTCTTTAAAAATTCCCTATTAAAATAGACAAATCTAAAGTATGTTACTAGGAATAATCTAAAATAAAAAGTCATATAATAAAGTAGGATAGCATATTTTTAATTACATAGTTTAAAATGCTTACCTAAATAAATAAGTGTACCTAGAAAATAGAGTGCTTTTAAGAAACATACTAAAAGTGGAAATTTGAAAATAGAATAAATGGAAAACAACTTATTTCTTACTAAAGATGTTACATTGTTACAACTGAAAAATAAGATCTAGAGCAGCAGTTTTAAACCTTTTTCATCTCATGGCATGCATAAATTAAGTACTAAAATTTTTTAACACACCAAAAAATGTATTTTTTGCTGATCTCACAAAAAAACAGGCATAAGTTTGATTCATTCACACTGGATGGCTGTTGTCTTAGCTGTTGTCATTTTTTTATTTGACAGTTTAAAGGAAAAAAGTTCAGTGCCCCTGACAAATAATCAGGTATTACATGTTTTAAAAATTCTCGTGGCACACTGGTTGAAAATCGCTGATCTAGAGCATTTTGGTTTCCTTTCTGCTTTCTTTTCAGGTCAGTCTTTTGGCTTTTACACAGACTAGGTGCCTGGTTAACAGCACAAAATTAAATTTGGGAGGCCTTTTGGGAAATATCCCATAGGGAGCAATCAGTCAGCAATTTAAAAATAATTGGCTTAGGAAAAAACAAAACTCGTAGACACAGACAACAGTATGGTGATCACCAGAAGGAAAGAGGGGGTGAGGGAAGGTACAAGAGGGTGAAGGGGGGGGGATAAAGGGTGATGGAAGGGGACTTGACTTGGGGGGGTTAACACACAGTGATGACATATAGACTTGTACACTTGAAACCTATGGAATTTTATAAACCAAGGTACCCCAATAAATTCAATTAAAAACAAGGTTGAAGGTAAAAGAATAAAAAATAAATATAACATGTAAACACAAAATGGAGAAAATATTGGCTTAGTGTGGAAGGAGATTTGCTTGAACTGATGAAATATGCAGAGGTTTAAAATAATGTGTAATTATTTTTCTACAATCTGGAACACTCTGAGGCTGATGAGGAGAAAAATGTAGATTTAATCTGAGTATGTTGTATGTAAAACAGCTACTTTCCCCTGAGTTTCTCCAAAATGAGATCAGATCAGCAGATCACCAATACTGTTATCTAACCTTGTTATTTTTCCACTTAATTTACATGCTGTGTGTTTTCCTGTGTCAGTATACATAAACGTAAATTTTTACGATCTGCCTAATTTTTCATTATATTGCTATACCAATTTAATTAATTCACCATTGGTGAACATGTAGATTGTTTTCAATTTTTTGTTAGTATAAAACAGTCCTCAAGGGTCTCAATATCCTGATACTTAGTTCAGTGTTGACTCTTATATGTTGGGCTCCCAGTTGCTATGCCCTTTTTTTGGTCTCAGTTTTGCTTTTTGGTTAGACCTCCCTGCCCCGCACCCTTACTCTCCCGGACTCCCAGAGTAAGATTTGGGAAAAGTGGGTCATGTTATTTGTTTATTTACTTGAAGTAATTTTTCCAAATATTAATAGTAAACTATACAGATCTTTTAAAAAATTTTTATGTGTTGCTTTTAGAGAGAGAGGAGGGGAGAGAGAAAGTGAGAAACATGGATTTGTTCCACTTATTTATGCATTTGTTGGTTGATTCTTCTATGTACCCTGACGGGAGAGCAAACCTCCAACCTTGGTGTATTGGGAGGACACTCTAACCATCTGAGCTACCTGGTCAGGGCTAGATCTTGGGTCATGTATTCAAAATAGCGAAGCAGCAATGTTAATGTGTTTGGAAAAAAAATTCTGATTATTAAGTTCAAATCCAAACTCTTATGTGCAAGTTGTACCATGTTGAATAAGTCACTTAGCACCTCTGAATTGGTTTCTTAATTATAAAATGGGGATAATCATGATATCGCAGGATGTGGTGAGGTTTCAATGACCTGATATATTGAAAGTGCCAAGCTCTGTAAACGTTCACATCTTCTTGTGGATGTCAGACTCCCACAGGGCTGTGTGTAGAATTTTGTAGTATGGGAGCTGAATGTGGTTTTGTGTTATGCCTTAGGATGCTTCCAGGCATTATTGCTTGCCCTTTGGAACTAATCGGTCCTACATAGTCTTCACTCCTCAACCCCCACCCCCAGTCCCTCTCATCAGCTGACACATCCCTCTCCTTTACTGTGCTCCACACCCTGAGCTTCTTGCTGTTTCTGAAGCACGTCAAGCATACATGTGCCTTGATTTTTTTTATGTTTCTTTTGCCTGGGGCACGCTCTACCCACCTAGTCCTCCAGGTATCCCCTTGCTACACCCCCTGATCTGTTTCTGTTTTTTGTCCAGAGTTCACCTGAGCAAGGACTTACCTGATCACCTCCCTCCACACCTCTCTCCTTAACTCCTTCACTGCTGCTTTCCTGTCCCCTTATCCTGCTTTATTATTCCTTCTTTACTTTTTTTCCCCCCACCACTGGGCATACTATTCTGTATTTCTCAGTTAATGTATTGTCTGTTTCTCTTCACTAGAATATAAGTTCCATGAGGGCAGAGATTTTTATGTTTTGTTCACTATTGTATCCCAGGTTCAAGAGCAGTGCCTGGTATATTATAATAGGTGCTTAAAAAGTGTTTGTTGAGCCCTGGCAAGGTGGCTAAGTTGGTTGAAGCATCATCCCATATACCAAAAGGTTGCAGGTTCGATCCCCATTTGGGGTGCATAAAGGGGTGGGGTGGGGTCGGAAACCAATCAACGTTTCTCTCGCACATCAATGTTTATCTCTCTCCCCGCTTTCTGTCTCTTTAAAAAAAAATCAATTTAAAATTTTGTTGAAAGAATGAGTAAATGAATGAACAAATAAACAAACAGCTAAATGGGAAACATACATTCTATTCATTTCTAAAGTACAAAGTGAAGATATCAAGTCATTAAGCCACTTTGGTAGGATTCTCTATCTGTGGTTCCCACAAGTTCTACTGTCTTCAGAAGAACCTCTTGAGATATTCACCTGAGAGATCTAAAAGCAAAGGGCAAGAGTAAGGGTGGTTGCTGGACAGAGAGAACGAAGGAGTGTCACTGGTGTTTATGTGTTTGCAGGGGAGGGGAAACATCTGGACAGATTTTCCTGAGCAAAGCAAACTTTAGGATCTGAAGGGATAGATGCTGGGGGATCCTTGTTTCTGGATCTAGCCTTCAGCCATTGCAGCATGCTCCTGAGAGCTGCTGAGGGCTCTGGGTGAATCATGGGAGAGTATGAGGCAGAGGGGGGTTGGAGACTTCAGGTTTATCAATTAACTTCTGAACCAGCTTGGAAATAGTATAATTTAAATGCTACATGCTCTGTCCTGCATAAATTCTCTCTATATGCTTGCTATTGCATTAGGTATCTTTAAACTAGCATAAGTAATTTAGACATAAATTGTTCATACTGAGTTAAAATGACACAGCCCTTCATTGGATACTTATTGCACACTGTATTCAAGGAGGGTGGATTAGAGAGCTTAGGATGTAAAGAGGTACTGCGGAGGCTGGAGGCACAGCAGTCAGACCTTAGAGACCTCTAGTTTCATTAGACTTAGGTTTGCTTCCCTTTTAACTGTGGGTAGAGGAGGAGTTACATCATAGGAGCATTGCCCAAGCCAAAATATGTATATAATCCAAAACAGGTCATACAAATACCTTTAAAAAAAATCATACTATAAAGGAGCTTCACTTCCAAAATACTGGGATTCCAAGGAATGAAAATTTGAACAATTAATTCTTTTAAAATCATCTATTTTTATTTTTGCTCTAAAAAGATCTTACTGTTTCTATTTTATCCTATCAGTTTAATCCTTTTATTTTCCTGAGAAGCAGGATAGACTATGGAATAACTTGTGAAGTAAGTAGAATTTATATGAAAACCTTTGTAAAAAGTAGTATCAGATTATAATTTAAATTTCATCATTTCAAAGTTTTGAATGATAATTTAACCTACCTCCAAGAGTTATTAGGAAAAAAAACCCAGGGTATTGAATGTAAAAGTGCTTATAAACTGCAAGTGAAAACAATATAGTAATATTTTGAAGGTATAAAAATTACTGTAGTGATTGGTATAAGGGAAATGGTCATTTAAAGCATTTTCCCCCTACCGATATTGTCTTTTCCATTTTAGTTTCAGAATTATAATGTTCATTTATTGTTATTTTGCAGATATAGTGGCAGGAAAAGGAGATGGTGGAGAGTCGATTTATGGACCAACTTTTGAAGGTATGTATCTTTAAATTTTATCAGTAACATATTAGTTGATTATTCAAATCTAACAGGACAGGGCAATACAAATAAGATAGTGTTTGGGGTAACATACTAAAAGTGGGAGTTAAAAATGGCACCTCAGCTTAGTCCAGAACAGTTTTGTGCACACATGTTTTCACTTTCCTAAATATATTATTTCTTTAGGATAAATTCCTAGAATGAGGATTGTAGGGCCAATGGGAATGGATATTTTTAAACCTTGTAATTTGCCATTCTCAGTATTGGTACCTTGATTATCCTGTGGTTTAGGCTGTCTGGTATCCTGGGAAGATGGTAATGGTGATGGCATAGTTTTTTAATTTTTTAAAACCCCAAAATAAAAATAGACAAAAGAATTAGATAGAAAAACTGAAAACCCATGGATAACATTTACAACAAAACTATGTGACAGCTAAGTTATATGAATTCCAAAGTACAAACAGGTGAGGATAGACTGCCAATGGCCACAGTCTGCCAACAGAAATCTATGTTAGAATAAGCAGGGCATCTGACAGACCTGAGAATAATGGAACCGCAAAATAGCCAACAGCTGGTGTATGCGTGGGGCCCACAGTAAGGTTTGAAGTGGCTAGAGCAGTCTAACCTCTGTGAGCTCTTGAAACTGATCTGAAATGGCTCTCTTCTGGGACAGGCTCATATTGAGGAGGTATGGCCTGGAATAGAATCAAAATTATGCAGGACATAGGGACAAGAGTGAGAAAGAAGGAATGGAAACAGAACTAGGAAATCTCAGAAAGCAAGCTGCTATATTGTTGAACACTGTATGAAAATAGCCCAAAAGGGAGCTTTTTGAAGTTGGAGAAGCTGCTTTCCACCTAAAACCACACCTGCTTCCAAATGTGTAGGGAAATTAATTTTACATAAAAACGAGCAGCAAAAAGTTTCATGGTTATTTTTTAAAAAGGTTTTATTTGTTTATTTTTAGACAGAGGGGAAGGGAAGGAGAAAGAGAGGGAGCAAAACATCAAAGTGTGGTTGCAATAAAAGCCTGAAGCTACTTTTCTTTCAGTCACGCTGCTACTTGACAATACTGAACCAGAACAACCAACACCAAGGCATATTTTAGTAACATGATTGGACATTAAGGAAAAAGAAAAAAATTCTTTTGGCAGGTAGGCAAAAAGAGCAAGTGATTTACAGGGGAAAGAAAAGTAGATTATCATCACATCTTTTGATATCATATTCTTATGGCAGAAGGAAATGGAGTAATACATTCATGATGCTCAAGGATAGGAAATGTGAGCTATGGATTTGCTGTCTGGCCAAACTGAATTTGAATTTTCAAGGGCACACAGAGTTAACAACATGAAAAACTTTAGGGAATAGTGTTGCCATGAGCCCTTCCTGAGTAGTGACTATAGATGAATTTCACAGAACCAAAGTAAAAGAACTTTTAAGGATCGGTGGTGAGGATTAATTGTATAATGACTTGTAAAACTAAAATTTTAAAAAGGGTGAAAGTATGACATGTAATGTCTATATACTTAACCTATTTAAAAAATGAAAGAAAAATGGGGAGAACATGTGAAAAAATTTTAAAACTATTTTCAGTCATACTGGTGATGGTATTATTAATACTGTTGTTCTGAGATTATTGTATGTGTAATGTGGGAAAAAATAAGTAATTAAGGGATATTTTAATTTCATTATTTCCTGCATTCCTGAGAATCAGGATTTTCACTATGGGGGGAAGGAGGGACAGAAGAAATATGATAGAGGCTAATATGTAAAGTGGTTCATAGTCCTTAATTTGAATGGGAAATACCTTTTAAACTCAAGAAGTATCTTCTCTCTATATATTAGCTGTGTCCATTGACTTGGTCTACAAACAACAATCCAGTAGTGATACACACTCCTAGCATTTAGATTGTTGTTTTGAAATGTCATTTCTTTAGGGACATATTGGTGAAAATACTGCTGCGTGAAATATCTGAGAGTTTCCTGCCTATGTTTTCCTCTAGGACTTTTATGGTGTCGCAACTTATATTTAAGTCTTTTACCCATCTTGAGTTTATTTTTGTGCATGGTGTAAGTTGGTGGTCAAATTTCAATTTTTTGCATGTAGCTGTCCAGCCCTACCAACACCATTTGTTGAAGAGGATATTTTTACTCCATTTTAAGTTTCTGCCCCCTTTATTGAATATTAATTGACCATAGAGACATGGGTTTATTTCTGGGCTCTCTATTCTGTTCCATTGATTTATGTGTCTGTTCTTATGCCAGTATCAGACTGTTTTGATTACAGTGGCCTTGTAATATAGTTTGATGTCAGGTATTGTGATCCCTCCTACTTTGTTTATCTTTCTCAAAGTCGCTGCAGCTATTTGGGGTCATTTATGGTTCCATATAATTTTTTTAAATGTTTACTCTACATCTGTGAAATACATCATTGGTATTTTAATAGGGATTGTGGTAAATCTATAAATTGCTTTGTGTAGTATGGACATTCTGATGATGTTAATTCTTCCAATCCATGAACATGGTATATATTTCCATTTATTTATGTCTTCCTTAATTTCTTTCTGCAGTGTTGTATAGTTTTCTGAGTACAGGTCTTTTACCTCCTTGGTTATGTTTATTCCTAGGTACTTTATTTTTCTTGTTGCTAAAGCAAATGGGATTTTTTTTCCCTGATTTATGATTCTGATATTTCATTGTTGGTGTACAAAAATGCCTTCAATTTCTGAATATTGATTTTGTATGCAGCTCTTCTGCCAAATTCACTTATTAGGTCCTAGAGCAAGAGACATAAACAAAGGGAAGGATAAACAAATGGGATTTCATCAAAATAAGAAGCTTCTTCATGGTTAAAAAAAATATCAACAAAATGAAAAGGGAACCAGCCATATGGGAAAATATATTTGCCAATGATACCTTGGACAAGGGTTTGATCTCCCAAATATATAAAGAATTCACATAACTCCACTCCAGGAAGGCAAACAATCCAATTAAAAAATGGGCAAAGGACCTGAACAGACACTTCTCCAAGGAGGACATACACAGGGCCCAGAGAAATATGAAAGGATGGTCAGCATTAGTAGCCATTAGAAAAATGCAAATTAAAACCACAATCAGGTACCACTTCACACCGGTCAGAATGGCCAGCACAAACAAATGAACAAACAAGTGCTGGCGAGGCTGTGGAAAAAAGGGAACACTAGTACACTGTTGGTGGGAATGCAGATTGGTACAGCCTCTGCGGAAAACAGTTTGGAATTTTCTCAGAAATATAAATACGGAACTGCCTTTTGACCCATCAATTCCACTGCTGGGATTATACCCTAAGAATCCCAAAACACCAATTCAAAAGAACCTCTGAATCCCAATGTTCATAGCAGCACAATTTATAATAGCCAAGTGCTGGAAGCAACCTAAGTGCCCATCAATAAATGAGTGGACCAAAAGACTATAGTACATTTACACAATGGAATACTATGCAGCAGAAAGAAAAAAAGAAAGCTACTACCCTTCATGACAGCATGGATGGAACTGGAGAGCACTATGCTAAGCGAAATAAGCCAGGGGGCGAAAGACAAATACCGTATGATCTCACCTTTAAGTGGAACCTAATCAACAAAACAAACAAGCAAGAAAAATATAACCAGCAACACTGAAAGAAAAAACAAACCTACAGTAATGAGAGGGAAGGAGGGAGGCGGGTAGAGGAGAAAAGAAAGGGAGGAGTCAAATCAAGGAACATGTATAAAGGACCCATGGACAAAGCCGAAGTGGGGAAGGGTTGAGGGTGGGAGGTGGGAGTGGATGGGGCGGGGGAAAGTGGTGGTGGGAAAATGGAGACTAATGTATCTGAACAATTAAAATAAAACAAACCTCATAGACACAGGGAAAAAAAAACCTTCAAAAAACCCCAAGAAATGTCATTTCTCGCTTAAAGACACCAGAACATTATGAGCCTTCTGTTGAGAGAAGACACTACCAAATGGATAGAACAGGAGTCTGATTAAGCTTCTGGACCCAGCTGCCAACTTGCAAGAAATACAACCAATTCTGCCATAATGTATTCTTAAGGATCTCTGTGCTATGTAAAATCATGTATTAAAAACCATAGGACTTATGGCAAAAATGAGGTAAAAAAAACTTTCTCAGTGACACATTAAAAAATAAGATAGTAAGCTAATAAAAACAGTAACAGAGTTTTTTACATATATGATAGGGTTAAGAAACCCATAAACAGTATAATAAATATGGTACTCTACCTTTTAAACTCCCTTTCATTTGTAGAGGTAGCATGGGAACATTTGCAGCTTGTGAGTGACTTTGAACGGGTGGAAGGAGTGTTTGCTGAAATTGGAGGCAAGTTTTGACCCCAGATGTGGATGGACGCTGCTCGTGATACAGGGACCTGAGGTACAGTGGTGGATGTCTGAGGCATGTGTGTTCCTCTGCAGCCCGGCTCAGTTCAGCTGGGAGCAGCTCTGCATTCACCCAGAGGTGTTTCTCTCACAGGAAACTGCACTTGAGCAGGGCAGACTTTATTAGGCTCAAGTGCTTTCCTGATTTATCAATCAAGGTGAAAGAAATGTGCATTTTCAACACAAGTATTATAGCCAAACTGAAAGGACAGGGAACAGAGAAATAAGTATATTGAACTGTAGCTTATATGTGTGATGAGCAAGCTCCAGACTGGGAGAAATTCTAGGTTAAATAGTTCAGGTTAATTAACAGATCAAGTGTAAGGAAGATAAAGGATTAGAGGCAGAACCTGTAGATTAAAAGAAATTTAAAAGGCATAACAATCTTTTAAAATGGGAATGACTAAACTATACTCCCTAGGGTAAAACTTAAGGAAACATTAAGTACTTGATTATGTGAAAGTCAGGGGAATGGTGACTTTCGGGATGTGGAGAGGGACTTGACAAGTGACTTCCGGGGAGGCTGACAGAGTTCTTTCTCTTGGCCTGAGTGGTAGTTAAAAGGGCGTTTGCCTTATAATA